CACTCCCGTAACTTCTCTTTTGTACAGACACTCAGTTTTCATAGTTAGAGGGGAGGATAATTAAATCCATGACCGTGGTATTAGATGAATTCTCTCACCAAATCTGAATGAAGAGAAGAGAACAATGGTTAAACCATCCTTTTCGTGTGTTCCTCTCTACATTTGAAATCCCAAAGTGAGAAAATTCACACGTTCCTTTTCAAACTTTAGGGAATACACTGGTAAATACAAAAGCTGCTTATTCACCCTATTTCACTTGATTTTCCCATGGTTTCCCATGTTCCCCACATTTCTCAGCTGATCTGCTTTGTAACCTCACCCGTGTCACGAAATAAGGATTCAGTGTCTTCCTGGCCTCAGCAGTCACTGCCTTACAGTTAAGACATCACATTGGTACTAAGCAAAAACCCAGAGGCAGAATTCTATTAAATACAACAAGCCTTGGCTAAGCATCTGAAGCAATGCAGCTCTGGGAGTGAGGAGAGAAAGAGAAAATGGAAAAGTAGCCCTCCAGCCCTGCTCTGAAAGACCAGGACACCGAGGTCTCAGTCTCCACTGCCATCGTTAACTGGGGACAGTCCCTGCTCCTCTGAAGGGGCCACTCCACCTCCATCCCACCAGATAAAGGACAGCCAGTCTCGGGCCCAGTATGGAGAAGGGGACATTTCTCTGCCTTGAATTATAGTTTCAAACCTGCAAAATAGAAAAATAGAGCTGGCTAACAGAAGGCAGAGTAATCCACCAAAGGTCATTAACCCAGTGTGTATTTCTGGCACTGGCTGCTCTGGCCTTGCCAGGTCCCCATAGCTGACCTTGGTATTTCACTCTGGTATGAGGCATGCATTCTGACTATGATTGGAGATACACCACAGGGGCACATTTGTCACACATATCCCCACACCTACCCCTGCATAGTGACACAAAGTAGGTCTCCTCCCCATGAAGCTGAAAATCCTCAGTGCAGGAAGTCACCTTGGTCTGCTGACATCACCATGTATATACATGTGTGAACACGTTTGCAAACGTGTATATAATGTGTGTATATACCTGATGTGTGCAGGTGTATATATGTGTGTATGTGTGTATGTGTGTATTTATTTAGTGGCTATTCTGTATGCTACAGAATGCTTATCTCAGAGAAGGGTTTTATCAGCCAGTTAATCATGAGAACAAACAAACCCTCAAATGATTAATGGCTCAAACCCAGTGTAAGTTTCTTTCTTTCTCATAGAAATTCTGAAAGATGTATCACTGATCTAAGGGTAGCTCTGTTCCATTGACTATTCAGAAATCCAAACTCCTTCCACCCAGTAGCTCCATCCTCAACCTGTGGTTTCTGCAGTTGCTACACTGAGTTGGGTGCATCAAGCTGATGGAAAGGGAAAGAGCACCAAATGTGGGTGATATTCCTGGGCCAGGGCAGACATCACTTTTGTTCACACCCCATTGGCTAGAACTAACCCTGTCACATGGCCACACCTACTGCAAAGGAGGCTGGGAAATGCAGTCTAGCTATGTGCCCAGAAAGAAGGGAGATCAGGTTCCAGGACACCATGCCAGTCCCTGCCACAGGGACAAAGCAGAAAGAGAGGTCTTGGCCTGTGTTCTCATGGAGCTGGTTACCCTATTGGGAAAATAGAGCCTGCAACACAGGAGCAAGTCAACTGTCATGCAGTTAAGATAAAGGGCCAAAATGGTGGAGGGATGTAACCCAGCCGGGTGGGGAACCCAACGTGGGTTGGAGATGACAGACAGCCTTGCAGGCCAGTTTCAGTGCAGTCCTGAAGAGTGAGCAGGTTTCAGCCAGGTGTGCAGGAGCAGGGAGGGTGTGCTATGGGCAGATGGACAAAAAAAGCCCTAGCTCAGAATTGAGAGGGGTCCATTTTAGAGACAGCGAAACAGTCTGGTGGGAAGGAAGCAGTAAACTGTGACGATCGAAGGAAGCATTTGAGGGAAAAGATCTCACTGGCCTCCGGTTTGGGAATGTGTGAAGCTAGGAGTCCATTTCTAAGACCAAGTGGAATCTGAGTTACTGAGATAGTGTAAGAGGTGATGTGAGGTCAATTTCAAACCTATACCAAGTGATTTTGCTACGGCTCACGTCTAAAACACACACGTGCGCACACACACACACATACACTCACTTCTGTCTAACTCCAGAATTCATCCAGATTCGAAGGTTAAAGACTTCAAGTTTGAACACTTTCCAGTGGGAGATTTACCCAGATGGACACTAACAGTGATCATGAACTGTAAGTAGCTGTGTGATAGTGAATTGCCCTCTAACTAAGCCGGTGGACTTCTCTGAAGAGGTCACGGTATTCTCCTGTTGGTTATAGTCATCCCAGGACTTTAATTGAGTTCCCCTTGTAGACACTCTACCTGTTTTTCACTGAGACCTGAATTATCATAGATAACACCACCACAACACCAGTTTGTAAAGTAATACTCTCTCTCTCTCTATGAGAATATATTTACTACAATATTATATGTGTATAGAAAAATACAAACCTTTCATAAAAATTCTTACTTTAAGAAGTACAACACCTGTGAGCTCAGGAACTTTTGTGGTTATTTAACCAAGAAGGAGATGTGTGTGAAAGGGTGATATTTACGTACCATTTTCTTACCTACAGTCTTAACACAAAAGTCCATCTTATTTTCCTGGAAGTCAATTTTTATTTTCCTTACATATATGGAAACTATAACAACAAACGATTCATTTGTACCTTAGCATTTAAGAAATGATCTACCAGCAACTCTCAGTTATGACAAATAATTGGTGTAAGGCTGTGTACATTTCACCATACTGTATTATTTATAATCCTTCCTGACTATGGCAGTACCTCTCCCTACCTGTGACATAGGTTAGGTAGCCTCTTCCATCCCTCTGTAGCAGGCGAGGAATCTGAGACAAGAGGTTCAGTTACATCCCGAGGTCTGGTAAAATTTATGCCCTAGGGCTGAAACTCAGATCTCCTTGCCCTAGGATCTGTCCCCTCTCCCTCATGACCTTACCCATTTCAATGGAGAGAACTGACCATTGGGATAGAGATCACTGAAGCATAACATCGTTTAGGAAGATTGGTTTATACATACACGTATTCATGCAGAAAGCACGATGATGACATCATATATCTGATAAGAATGAGCGGAGTAAGTCAGATGTCTAATCTATAAGGACTCTTCCTCCCAACCACGTGATATACCATTCAAAATCATCATTTCTTTTGTTGAATGTCATTTCCCATAAGTTCTTGGACTGTTCACATATTGATAAATGTAATCTTAAGTCTCAGAATGTTATCATTCTTTTGGCACTCTCTCAATCTTTAAAACGTATATGTGGGTGGAGAAAATATAGACATTTTTTTCTTTGTGGACTATAACAAGCATCAGTTGAGTACTTACTGGGTACTATACATTGTGACAGGTCCTGGGGCCTAAAATGTCTTTGCCCCCTGGGAACTCAGGTTCTAGAGGGAGCTTGAGATAAAGATTATAAAAGTTGTGCAGAACCAACATCCTGGTTCTATTGATGTCTTAGCTCTGTTGGAGAAATTAGAATTTTCAAAATAATGAACAACCCGTTATTTAGGATTTATACCCTTTTTGGTGAAAGTAACTCCACAAACACAGACTGAGAGAAGCAAGAGTGTAAGTTTGAGGAAAATGATTTGAAGCTCCACTGATAAGGAGAACTGATCCAAAGCAGGAAAAAAATGCCTTCGTTCCTGCAGATGCACACAGAACAGTCCTATCACACAGTGCTCACCCTTCAGTGCGCACTGAGTAGATGTTTTTTTCCTATTTTCCATTGAAGTGTAGTTGATTTACAATGTTAGCTTCCGGTGGATGTTTGTTGAGTGACCAACTAACCAAGTATACAAGGCTTTCACACAAGTTGAACCTAAGGGAAGTCAAATGGGGAATAGAGTCAATATAGCTCATTTTAGTGGCATTTACGTCCTGGCTAACAACATAGTGGATCTGCTGGAACAAAGTGACCCTTGGGCAAGCCCCTGCACTCTAGCATAATCCCAACATTAGTTAGTGGCAGATAATCAGTCATTTCCCAGCTCAACATCAGTATGCAGCAAAGCCTCTCCAGGGAAGAAAAGGAATAGAAAAACTTTTCAGGGGTGAGGAAGGCATCTTAGCCACATTATTTACTTACTCAATTCGATTTTTTCGTGTCTGAAAGCACAAAAGTTGTAACCAAGACAAACCAGGCTACAAGTACCATTTTTAAAATGTCATCAGCCTAGCAGAAACATGAGACATAAATCACAAGCTTTATTGTATTTGCAATCAAACAGATCAAATTTAATGTCCACAGAAAAGCCTTAGTAATTAGTATAAAGATTAATATAGTGAAATGTCCCTGGTTTAGCAGGCCACCCAAGCAAAGCTGAAATAAAGAATGGAGTATATAATCGAATAGCATGTGAATATTAATGCACAAAACCCTCCGAGTCCCCAGATCCCTGATGCAATTATTTTCTATTCACATTAATTGTTCCTAACAGATGACATTAATGACTTTGAGTTAAAATGTGTGCAAAGGAAGATTTCACAAGATCAATGCTGTATAGGGATAAGGTCACTTTTATAATTATTTGCTCAAATTTTAACCAGTACTCAGCATAATAAGGTTAACACAGTGATTGTTTCTTAATGTGAATATCAAAAGTTAATTTTCATACTAGCCAATAAGTGTATTGGGGTATCCACATTTTTCTTGCTATTCATTTTTCCCTACTCCGTATTTTCCAACACATATTGACTAACTGTGAAAGTGTGATTATTGTTTATAAGCTGTAATTCGCACATGTATATATATAGAACACTCAATAAACTCAGATAAACTTTTTTGAGTTAAGATATGTGTTACCTAATGTAGAAATATCAACTCTTTGGAGATTTACATGCCCAAGGCAGGATTTTGTGACAAACAGTTAAATCAGTGCCATTCAAAGTTTCTCTCTGTTCTTACCCAGAAACTTCACTCACGCATCTTAGATCTTTCATCCGGGGCTTTGCTCTCAGATGTGGAAAGAAGCCGAAGTCTGACGCAGTCACGAACTGATGCTGAGATGCACGTGAGTTTCCCCGTCGCCCTCAGAACACTTGTTTAGGTTGTTACTGTCCTTCCGTCAAATATGATGTCACCAGTGAACCATAAACTGCATCCTTGAAGCACTGTCAGGCAGATAAAAATACCTTCCTTTCCTGTGTTCTCTGAAATTCAGTATCATGTCCCCCAGCTGGTAGAGTAAGCAGAAAGTGTCGTTCTCGGCAGAAATGTCATAAATCTTGCCTTATCCCCAAGATACCTTTTGGAGTATTGATTATATCTCAAAGTCTCTGAGAAATGGCCAAGGAACTTTTTATTAAAATCCATGTCCCATATTACTCATCCCACTTTTATGATATATTATATATGAACTTTTAAAAATTCATGGGCTGTACTTTTTTTTCTTTAGCTAGGGTTAGCTTTGTGCTTATTTGGCAAAACTTTAACCAGCACGATTTTTAACTCTCATTGACATAAAAAAGTAATTTGAAACACAAGAGCCAAATAAATATATAATGAAAGATGTTAGGCTTAAAACAATGACAGATGAACATTTATGGATAACTGGCCTTTTATTTTTCTGTATACAACTTTTAAGTATAGATAGGATAGTCTATATCAAAGGTGAATATTCTCAAGTTTGATTGGAATTAAATTTCAGTGGATTTCAGTGGAATGCTGTCACTTTAAACATTCATGAAGACCTTAACAGCATCCAATCTATAACATGGCCTTGAGATCGGGAATTTTTTAAATGCAGGTTTCATCCAAGAAACTCTTGCCTTCATTCTCTCTGTCTCTCTCCTTTTTAAACTAAAATTGTAGATTTTTGCATTGCATTTCTCATAGGAAGCATGTTAAGGCATTTGAATGCTTCAAGGAGGTAATCTAAAGTACATCATGGGAAAAAGACACTGGATAGTTCAAATGGTGTATTTTGCCAATTAAATTAACATAATTAAGATAATGTTGTAATGGAAATCAATATACGTCTTTTGGCAAAGAAGGACTTTAATAATAAATATTATCTGTTACTAATTACAGTTCTTCTCAGTAGGGTGTTTGACAGTCTGTCTATGTCCAGGAGTTCTGCTTGTGGTCAAGGGCCTTCCTTGGAGCTATAGCGTAGTGGCTAGGACCTGGGCCCAACATCATGTTATATTGGCTGGATGACCTTGAGCAAGATTGTAATAACCCAGTGCCTCAGTTTCCCCACCTGAAAAATGAGAAAAATGCTATTTCTCTCCAATTTCTAAGAGTTGTGGTGAAGGTTAAATGGGGTGATACATGAAATGTACATAACACAGTACCTGCTGACAATTTGGGGCCGTGATGAGATCTCTGCTGCCTCAGCCCTCTTCTGTCCTTAAATACGGGGCATCACGCTGCAGCCACAGAGGACATGACAAGGATGGAGAGTGAGAATTGAGACAAGCATCTGCCAGTGTGTCTCTCCAGAAGCTCACATCACTGATCCCTGGAAACAAAGTGCAGCGCTTTCGGCTGTTGCTCATCACAATTCCTATGTGCTGAGAACATCATCATGCTAAGGTGTCAGACCGTGATGGCGTATTAAGAAGTATAGCGCAGGGTCCCTTAGGGAGACTGTAAAGTATAATTTGGTTGAAGACCCAAGGCATGTGGGGTTTTTTTAAACATTTTTAGTCATAATAGCAAAATCTAAATGTTGCTAAGCAGTATTATTACTAATAATTACTAAGTATCACTAAGCATGATGTTACTAATCACCGGGGGCTATTGAGTCTTCACAGTGATCTTATATGGTAGGTGCTTTCATTATCTCCATTTAGGGAGAAAGGAACTGAGGCATGGCGGGGTTAAGTAAATTTCCCAAGGTCAAAGAGTTAGCAAGTGAGAGAGCTAGGATTTAAACCTTAGAAATGGCCCTGGGGTTCAAGCCACTCAATCACAGAACAGTCATTTGTTGGAGCAGATAATCTTACAGGATAATCATGTGCTGATAAGGGGAGAAACTGCAAGAAAAAGGAGCTCACTTTGCAGGCATGATGTCAGAGATTCTTATGAATTTCCAACATGTATTGTCCATGATGAGGGAAAGGTAGGGGGATGTCCCAGTAGAAAGGTCTCGTTGCCCCTTTCTCGTCTTTGCAAGAAATTACTCTGTAATCACCCCACCCCCACCCCACCACACACACCCTCTCTCCAGTGCACTGCTCCATGGGAGGGCTCAGACCACTCCCTTCACCCTGCTCAGCACAGCCCAGGTCAGACCTTGAGATACACAACTTGCTACCAAATAATGCACATGAAAGGTAGCCTCTTCGCAGCTCCTCCTAGGCTAGGGGCTCAAAGTCTGGGTCCTGGACCAGCAGCATAAAAGCAGCTGAGAACTTATTAAAATACTACATCTCAGACCCAACCTCAGAGTTACTGAATCTACATTTAATAAGATCCGGGATAATTCATATGCACATTCAAGTATTCAAAGCCGGGCTTAGAGGACACTTCTCTGCAGAACCACTCCCAGCCCCACCTGCATCCACAGGACACTGATGGACCTCTCCCACCTCCCCACAGCATCCTCTTTCACATCTGGGCCTCTCAAGTTCAAGGTCAAGGGAGAGGCTGCAATTCCTTCCTCCTTCAGCTCAGTGTCTGAGTTCCAGTTTCCTGTCATCTTACCAGCATCTCTACCACGAGTGATGACTGGCCAAGGAAGCTGATTTGTTAAAAGAGGCCTGGGAATTGAGTTGAGTTGTAAAAACAGATGTAATTTTGACAGGTGCAGTAGGAAGGTATTGGTGGGAAAGACAGAGGGAAATCCCATATAAGCTTCAGCATGCTGGGAAAAGTAGAATATAAACGATGCTGTGCAGAGTGTGAAGAAGGCCTTTGGAGAAGTTTAGATCTGATGGCTTCACAGGACACAGACACAGTCTCTCTGGATAGTAGACACAACTGTCAGAGCAGAGGTAGTCCTAAGCAAAACCCAGCACCCTGCTCACCAGAGAACAGGATGGAGAAAATAGAAAAGTGCACAAGTGAAAGTGGGTCATGATGGGCTGTTTCTGAAAGTCTGTTCAAGGCGTGTTCCAGGTGTGTACAGGGGCTAAAGCCTGGCGGTCTCATGTCCCTGTGCAATGGGACCACTGATTGGGGGCGGTGGCCAAGATACAGACGTGAACGCCCCTTAACTAAGTTACACCAGCAATAAACAAGGTCACAAATCAATAGATACCGCTGAAAGCTGGTTTTTAAGACAACTTTCTCCTTTCAATGATATTTAGAGCCAAATTTCAGGGGGGAAAATAGGGTAGTAAAATTCCTTGGCGTTTTAAGATCACTTAAAGAGATTATCGTGCAGCAAAAATGAAGTATCAATAGCAAGGCAGATGCCTGATGTTGAAAATCTAATGTTATTAATTGTAGATGTTGATTAGAGAGCAGATTAAACATGCCCTCTGCCCCGATGCAGGGTCTCATTTTTACCGCAAGTACTCTCAGCACAACCTACCTCACCTTCCTTCCTCAAGCTGGTGTTCAGTCACCGTCAGCTGGAATTGCATTTGGAGAACAGTGATAAGTACTCAGGTACTAAAGGCACCCATGAAGTGACAATAAATTGCATAACTAAGAGAGTTTGCTATTCTGCAAGTGACACAAAGACAGATGGTTCCCCATCAGAGAGTTTCTGGGATGGAGCTATTATAGATAGAGGACAGGAGTGAGACTGTAATGGAGAGATTCCATCCTAGTGATCGGGATGCTAAATTAATTTAGCCTGTCCAGTGAGTGGAGCTTCATCTGTTCCATTAGGGGCCGATAATGTGGCTGTCAGGATGTGCCTGGGTATTTACAGCTTTGTCACCTGCACCTTATGCAGACCTGCTAGAATTCTTACTGCCTGGATCCTTCTGTGTGGGACCCAGATCTATCGATGTGAGAATCTTTACCATTTGGACAGCCGGCTGATGTGAAAAGTTCTAGAATCCTCAGAGCAGAGCCTCGTGATTCCTGAGTTAGGGGCTCCACTATCATACATGGCTTTCTGGGCATTTGATTCCTGACTGAGAAAGATGCTGTCAGAGCCACAGGGGACCACAGGAGTAATCTGGTAGAACTCTCCCACCCTACACAGAAAGATATTAACACCCATGGAAGTTAAATGCTTTCTTTGTTCAACATCTCATACCTGGTGGCATGTGTAGCCTGCGATTCTGGTTGCTAGACTTCCAGTCCAGTGCTCAGGCTCTTGAACCCTTAAGCCAAAGATGCTACTCTGTCTTCTTCCTTTTGGATCATTAGAGTTAGTTGATACTTATCTGAGTCTTTAACCAGTACTGGATAAAATGGGAAACTCTCACTGTCCTAATTCTGCCTAATGGTGATGGCAGCTCATAATAATTGAGCACCTGCTTGGGCCAGATACTGGGCTATTTGCTTCTCATCTAGAACCGCATTTGGTCCTTGTAATAACCCTATAAGGTTGGCAGTATTATCATCATTCACTTTTAAAAAGGAAAATGTGGCTCTAGAAAGCAAAGTCATTTCCAGAGCATGTTAGTAAGGGGCGGCGCCAAGAATGCAACCTCTCATCTGTTGACCCCAAAGTCTGTGCCTCTAACCACAGTTCTGTATTCGCTCCTACCTCACTGTGGAGCTGGTGTTTCCTCTCCCCTATGCAAAGTCCTAGCTCAGAGCTGCCCTGCTTTTTTAGGAATGCCAGCTGAACGCAAAACCAGGCACCTCTGCTTTGAAATGCCCTGGCTTGGCGGTTGCCATCCCTGGTCATCTCTGTCCTCGAAATAGCTGCAGCAGCAGCGAACTGTCCCTTTCGAGCACCTGCAGCGAGTACTCCAGCGGCTCCTCCTACACGTGGCATGATGGGAAGAACCTCAGGAAAAGGGTAAGGCTCCCTTCAAGGCACACCAGCATTAGCATGAACCAGAAAAGAATCCTTCTGGTAGGAAGGTGGAAGGTGGGAAGGAGGGTAAGGAAGAAACGACCATTTGCTGAGTTCTTGTTCATGTATACCTCCCAAAACCATATAGGGAGGTATCAGTCTCCCTGTTACATAGAAGAGAAAATTGGCTCAAAAAGGTTAAGTCGCTTGCCAGCAATCCCGCAGTAATGGTGACTCGATCCCAGACGACATCGCAGGAGGGAAATTGAGAGAGAAAGATGTCTCCCTTCTGTGCTTTGGTGGAGCCCAGTAAGTTCACAGATTTATGTCAGGTTGGAACTGGAGCCCTGGCCTAATGGAACTGACCATACTTCAGAACAACTCAGACATTTTCAATTAGTTTTATGGACATTCACTATCGCTGTGATGCTCAGAGAGACTTGTTAATGCGCCCTACAAGCATGAGGTCACGTGCCAAGCCATTCCAGACTGAGCATCCCATGAGATCTCAAAGAGAATGTATGTTTTCTTCTAGAGAATAGGGAGGGTGGTGCATTCTTGCCGAATAAATGCCCCAAAGTTTGGCATGAAGTATCATTAGCTTTATAGGAATTTACCCCTAAAAAATAGCATGTATTATATTGACCTCCTCTATTCAATGCTGTAGCCTCATAAAACACTAATTGACTATAAATCAAAGGGTGGCATAGTAGAGAAAATGCCAGGGTGGATGACAGGCATGATGGCTTCGGGAGGATCAGGCATGCCCCTGCTTAGATGCCAGGAGTTCCTTTAGCAGATTTTTAAATAACTCCTATGGCTGGGATGACTCCTGTCTTCAAAGTGGGCTCACATAACTGAAGATTCCTTCATGATTTGAATAAACACCTTCACACGCTGGTGTAAGCCAAGAATTTGGAATAGCTGTTTTTGCAGTTTCCTAATGCTGAAGAAAAACAAAGAGTAACAGAGAATGGAAACCCTGAATCAGAATTTTTGGAGGTCATTTTTCTATCATCTGTGTAAGTTTAGTTTATTACTTCAAAAGCGCAGAAACCAGGGGAATTCCACAACTGCCAGAAAAACTGGTTGAGGGAGTAGGTTTGTCATACTCTGAACAAGAACTCAGAAAAAGATTTCCAGCCTGAAATGAGAGCTTATTGCCTTGGACTCAGACTTAACAATGCAAAATGCGGAGCCTGGGGTATTATCAAAATTGCTCCTTCTAAGGAGCTGTTCAGAGTTGTGAATAATGACTTCTGGGGACCTGGCCTTTAATAGGCTGGGGAGATGGCTTGGAGGGATGTTCCCTCTCCTTGTGTCTGAGTATCTCTAGCTCCCAGACCCCTCGCTCTGCTCTTTCCATTCACACCTCTTCCTCTCTTTCTCTCCGCCTTTTTATTTTCTTTCTTCCTTTTTTTTTTTTTTTTTTGCTGAAATTTTTCCAGTTAGACCAATCCTTGATCTTCTAGGGACATATCTTCCCTGTAAGAGGAGAAATAAGGTTCTTGAGACACTTCATACACACTCTGGCAGCCATCCTCTGGAGATTTAATAGCGTCCCATCTCAGAATGGCCATGAGGTACCAGCACGCCTGTCCCATCTCACAGAGAAAAGCCTCATTCTCAGGGATCCAGCAAACTAGACCCAGGCCCATGAAGACACTTTACATTGATATTATTTAAGGAAATTCTTAAGCTCTTACCATGTACCAGATACTCATTTAGTATTAACTTACATAATAAATCCATACAATATGAATTTGAATGTGAACACAATATTAGCTTACATAATAATAAGTATATGACCAGTGGCTCTTTTGTAGTTCATAAATATATTTTTTAAGTATTGTTTTGTGTAGAAACAGAATGGAAACCTGCATGAAATAGAACAGCCTGCCCTCCGTGAAGGAGTCTGGCTCTAAATAATGATTAATTAACACATGCCAGCTTTGTTAGCTTTTCATAAGCATTAGCTCATTTAATGCTCATGCTAGTGTATGGAGTGGATTTTCCTAATTCCCCCATCTCACAGAGGGGTAAACTGAGGTACTGAGAAGTTAAATATCTAGCCCAAGGTCTCATAGCCAGGTAGTGGCAGAACTGGGCAGTTGGTTCCAGAACCTTAACATGTAACCATCCTGCTATACTGTCCTTGTTGAAATAGCCTAAAACTTGGCGGAATCCCAGTTGTTGGGATGGGTTTGTTTCCATTAAGAGCAAGAATGTCCTTTAAAATAAAATGTATAAAACTGTTGTCTAGTCAAGAAATAGAAAAGAGCCCAGGCCCAGGCCCCTATCTTACCAGTAGCATCTTTCAGTCAGCTCCCTCCTCCCCAGAGCAGCTCTCTTCCAGTGTTTCCCTGCAAAGAATGAAGCTGCCTGTGGGAAATGCCAGCTCCATGCCACCACCTCCCCAACAAGGAAATTATGCTTTTTTTTGTTTTCAAGTTTCAAGATTGTTCCCAACTTTTCTCAAGTTATCAAAAATCATACCCTTCTGTGGAAAACTGATTGAGGAATGTGGCTAATCTCACAGAATGGGAAGTCTGGGCCCCAGGAGATTGGCAGCCACAGGCCCTGGAATGAATCAGAACACAGCATGGGCAGGCTCTGGGAGGGCAGAGAGGAGGTGGCTGGGCAGACACTGAGCACAACTCCCATGACTAGGACAAATCTGCCCTTCTCAAACCCTTATGGGGTACTTTTGCCTGGCTTCTCTTCCTTATTGTGAACATGACATAGGGACCGTGGAAATTCTTAGAAACCCAAGCTGTGGCAGTCTGCTTACTGGTCAGTCTCTATGCGCAGACTCACTAATGGGATTTCTTCTGATTTCTGAAGACATTCTTAATGGCACAGCAGAGGTGGATGGGGAGGGTGGTACCACCAAAATGGCATCTATCTGCAGCAACTTCTGACCCTGGAGAATTTTCCAAAGAGAGTATAGAATTTGACTTAAAACCAAATAACCATATAACAAATACAAAACAAATAAACAAGACATGTTGCTAGCAAGAGGCATTTTTATGTAAAAGTCTTAGATATAAGCAGATGCTCACAGTTTACTAAAAAGCTGAGATTCCAATGCAAGTTTCTGACATTTGGAGGTCATTTTTTCAGCTTCTGCTTATGAGCACGTCAGTTCAGTCACAAGACAGCAGGGCAGCTAGCATGGAGACACCAACAGAAACTGCACCCTTAGCCAAGATTGGTCCAGAGTTTACATCTGAAACCACCAGATCCATTCCTTGAAATTATTCACCATTCATTATACAGCCTTTTTAAAAAAAGTCATCAGGTCAGTGCCAGCATCCTACCAACCTTCCTGAATGCCAGTTTCTGATTAAATCAGCAAATTCCATTCAAAAGAGGGGTGTTGGGATAACCTATGATCTCTATTATAACTTTGACTAACGTGGAGGGGAGCATAGAGGCTACGCGTGATTCCAGTGGTCAAAATTAATTGTGCAGTCTCTAGAGCCACAGTGCCTTTGTTCAAATCCCCACAGAGCCACTTTGGAACTGAGTCACAGAAAGTGTCCAGGAACCCAGAGTTCAGACGTTTGCTTCATCTCTTCCTTAACTGTGTGATCTCCAAAGGGCTGATCTTCCTGAATCTCAGTTTCCTGCCTAGTAGTAAAATGGGACAGATAATGTCTCCCTCATGTTGTTCTGAAAATGAAATCAAAACACTGGCTAAGTGCTGGTACACAGCGGATGCTCCGTCAGTGTTAGTGTCCTCAGCCATTATGTTTCTTGTTAGCAAAAATCTGATAAATATGGATGTCTGAGTGGAACACTGTGTCTTTTCTGTGATATTTCTTGGTCCCTGCTCCAGAACTAACACAGGTATCTGGGGAAAGATGAAGAACAGGAAATGGACCTTTCTGAGTTGGTAGGTGAATCTTTGCTGTGGGTTCTCCCAGTGAATGCCCAGCTGCTCTATTAGTGTCTGTATTTCACAAATGCTCACTGCCTATCAAAGAACTTACGAAGTCACATGCCATTCCGACTTTCACTGTTAGAAAGGAAGGCACCATAAAGGCCTGGACCAACTCACTTTTCCATTTACCCACTTTATCGCTCATCTACACCGCACAGTGAGCCGTATCATCTTCTGGTTATTCCCTACGTGTTCCTTAAGCATGCTTTTCCAGTCTAGGTCTTTGCCATTCCATTTTTGTACCAAGAAATCATTTCCTCCACTTTTAAACTAAGGCAAACCTATCCATCTTCCTAGGGCTAGGTTTTTTTTTTTAAAAAAACCATTTTTTTTATTGAGTTATAGTCATTTTACAATGTTGTGTTAAATTCCAGTGTAGAGCATAATTTTTTGGTTATATTCCTAGGGCTAGGTTTATTTAAAAATAAAAAATAAAGAACTTCCCTTACATGCTTTTCCAAGCAGACACGTGGTCTCCTTGCCCTCAAGTTCTGGAACATCTACTATAGTTGTACTTCTCGTTTGCTCCCTTGACTTACGGTGACTTGAGCCCAAGTCCTCCTGGATTGTGCGCCTCTTGAAGAGAGGTTCCTTAATTTCCGCTTATATGTATCATATGCTGCTTAGCTCGGGACCTGACCAAGTAGAGGTATGCTGCATAGTTAATGAATCTGTTTGCACTAATTAATATATGCATTTATATGTGAATACTTATCAACCACTAGGACAAATTAAGTTTAATGATGGCCTTTCCCTTTTATAAATTTCTGATCCATAGGGCTCAATCATCTCTAATATCTCCTTTTCTTTCCTAGCAGTCATCACAAAATTGGGACAAAAGGTTAAGTATTGACTCTTCGCTCCCCAGTGGCTTTGCTAGTCCTACAGATGAACTACCTCCAACTCGTATCAAGGAAAGCCACATTTTGGAAGGACTCAGGAAGCTACAGAAGCAAAAAGTGTTACTCGAACCCCCATCAGTGATAACCAAATGGGGTTATAAAGATTGCATGAACTCAAATGAAGGAATCTATTCTCCAGGAATTAAAAGTAGCAGCCTCAAGGAATATCCCCCCTGCAAACCCATGGACACGGGGAGCCCCTGCAAAGAGCCCCACAAGGCGTTTGTTTACGACACAGATTCTCACGATGATGCGGATGAGGACCCTTCTTCCCGAGCCGCACTCCCAGCACTTCCAAACCAGGGCTGCGGGCTGCACTGTTGTCAACTAACCCACAGTGTTTCTGACGGTCTCTTTGGCTGGGAGCCAAATGGCAAATGCTGTTCAGAAGGCACTTCCTCAGTCTGTCCCAGGGAAAGGCCTGAGAAGCTGACCAGTTGTGCCAGCAGCTGTCCCTTGGAGCAGAAGCTGTGCCCAGGTGTGCCGGTGCCGCAGGTGCAGAGAGAGAGGGGCCCACACGGCCAGGGCCGCCTGGCTCTCAGTGTCCAGCTTTCAGACACCGATGACAGTGAAACTCTGGACGAGCTGCACATCGAGAGCAGCGATGGGAAGAGCCCTTCCGACGTGTCCTTGACTGCCGACACTGACAAGTCAACGGAGAATCTGGACATCCTCTTGGGATTGGGAAGATCTCAACGTGGGTCTCCAGAGGAGCAGGAAAAGCAAGTGCCCATCCCCTTAGAGAGTAGGCCAAAGACCTTTAGTTTCATTAAGCAGCAAAGACTTGTAAAACGGACTTCCTCCGAAGAATGTATCACTGTGGTTTTTGATGCGGAAGATGGCGAGCCCATTGAGTTCAGCTCTCACCAGGCAGGCACTGTCACTGTCACCAGAAATGAAATCTCCATCAATCAGGCCCCTGCTAGACCCCAGGCCGAACACACTGAACTTTTACCTCAGGGAATTGCTCATTTCCAGCCAGGAGCTGCTGCAAGAGACTATCCCTTCTTCAAGAGGTCAGAAGAGGAAACTGAGGAAAACATTCCAAAAGCCGAGGTAGATGATGTTCCCGAAGCTCCCACAGGCTCTTTCCACCCCAGGACAGGGGCACAAAACACTCAGCGACAAAGACTGGCCAAACCAGCACACAGTCCGTCATGCCAGAGGAATTCCAGGTCCTTGGTGCCCACAGGCATCTATCAGAAGAAAAGTCTGACAAAAATACCTACCAGGGGCAAGTCTTCACCTCAGAAATCAAAAATCATGGAGCCCGAGGCCTCCATAACTGTCCTCTCCGCTGGCCCGGTGACTCCTGAAAAATCACCAGCTCCAGGGAAACTCTCACGATTCAAAAAGACTGAAGGCCCAGCACCCCTCTTTGATTTACAGCCAGATTCACACATTCCGAAACACCCCACCCAACTCCCTTACAGCTCCAGCATGTCCAGCAGAAGGGATTGGGCCCAGTGCTCCACCAGACAGATTCCAGCATCACAGCTGCTGTCCAGGCCCCTCGCTGAGCCACATGACGATGGAGAGCCCCCCACGCGGGATGCACACTGTGACCCTGGGCCCGAGGCAGGGCTGAAATCACCCTCCCCTCCCTCCCCTCCAGGCAGGTCGGTCTCCCTACTCATCAGGCCTAGTTATGACTATTTGTCACCATCTTCATCTGCCAAGCCCGAGACCAGAGTCCCCAGTGAAACAGCAAGGACAGTATTTAAATCCCCTCCTCTGAAAGGATCCTCCACTCCTATTATTTATTTTAATCAGACCACGACAGAAGTGCAGGGGAGGAAACCTTCTCTGACCTTCAAAAAGCCCATCTTCTCTCGCCCTCTGCCCTCCGCAGAAACAGTGACCCCAACCCGATGCTCTGCTCATGCCCCCTCCAACTCATTTGCTGTGATGGCCTCAGGGCCCCCAAAGGTCTCTCCAAAGAGAAGTGTCCCCAAAACCCCACCTCACCAAACCCTGGGGACCACACAAACAGACACAGGGTTACGGACTTCCAAGAACTGTCCTTCAACCCACGAGCCACTGGAAATACCATCCTCGAAAAGTGTATCTCCAAGGAGAAAAGGACAATTGAATGACAGTGTCTCCACGTCACTCAAGCCTTCCTTCTTAGGGGTAAGTGAGTCACCATCATCTCAGGGTAACAGTCCCTCCTCGTCAGCATCCTCCAAAAGCCATAACTTCCCGCATGGTTGTCAAAGCCCTCATGAGCGAGGGCTGAAAACTCGCCTCCCAGTTGGGCTCAAAGTTTTCATGAAGTCTCCCCAGTTGCTCAGGAAGAGTTCCACGGTGCCAGGGAAACATGAAAAAGACAGTCTAAATGAAGCTTCTAAAAGTTCTGTGGCCATGAGCAAGGCTAAGCCAGAGGCCTCCAGGAATCCAACTGGCCTTGACACCACAGGAGATGAAAGAAATGTGTCTCCACTGGATTTGCAAGCACCGGGTAGTTTGGCCGAAGGGCCTCCTCCAGAAAGAGCAATGCCAGAGTCACTGGCGAACAGTATGCCTGGGGCTGATGGGAAAGATCGGGTAGAAAACAAGTGTGGGAAAAGATCCCTCTCCTCCAAACCACACCTGAAACCAGCTTTAGGCATGAACGGAGCCAAAGCCCGCAGCCAGAGTCTCAGCACTCACGCAGGAGACAAGCCCTCGACGCCCCCCATGGAAGGAGGGCCAGGAAAGGTCCGAACTCAGATTATTACCAACACTGCTGAGAGAGGGAATTCCCTCACCCGGCAGAGCTCGTCCGCCTCCACGGAAGGTGCTCCCGACAAGACGGCATCTGCCCCGACGTCGGACAGTCTCCCTGGTGCCGGGAGGCCTCTGGGGCATCCGTCCTCCGGGCACGGCTCCCTGGGGAGCACAGGCAGCTCCAGCAACCAGCAAGGGAGCCCAAGTAAGCTGCCTCTGAGGATCCCTCCAAAATCTGAAGGGCCCCTCACCCCACCTGGAGCAGAAGAGCCACAGGCCTCGGCCCAAGGAGAAAGCCCCAGGGTGACTGGGCCTGGGGAGCCAGGCAGCGACCGCTGTGGGTGCCCACCCACCCCAACAGATGGCCCACGAGTCCCGCAGAGTCCAGGGAGGACCCGGTGTCCCAGCAGTCTTGAACCAAGCAGGACCTCCAAGCTCGAAACTTCTGGAAGGTTTCCAGACACTTCTACCACCAGGACTGGTGTTGTGAGCCCCGAAGCCCCCCTCTCACCCACAATCGAAGAAAAGGTCATGTTGTGCATTCAGGAGAACGTGGAAAAGGGCCAAGTGCAAACAAAGTCCACCTCTGCGGAAGCGAAGCCGAAGCCAGGGCCTTCTTTTGCCAGCTGGTTCGGTTTTCGGAGGAGCAGACTGCCTGCTCTCAGTAGCAGGAAAATGGATGTCTCCAAAACCAAAGCAGAAAAGAAAGATGTGAAAGGTTTGGGGTTTGGAAACAAACAGCTAAAATCAGAGCGAAGAAAAGAAAAAAAGAAGCCCGAGTTACAGTGTGAGATGGAAAATGAACTTAACAGGGACATTGAGTTGGCAGATGGTCCAGACAGTGGTTTACAAGGCAGAAGTAACCTGAAAACACCGCCAGATATTTTTGAGCAAATGAAGTTGGAATCGAGAAATAGACCCAGCCCTGTTCCGTGTTCAACAAAAGATACCTTTATGACGGAACTTCTGAACAGGTAGCGTATTGGCAAAAACGGGTGGCTATGTTGAGGGCAGGGCACCACCTCCCCCTACAAGCAGAAATGTTTGTTTCCTGCACACTGAATCTCAGCCAAGCATGTTTTTCATACAAGCAGAACTGCATAGTAGCAATCTTTTATACATTAGCCAGAATTTAAGCAATGAAATAAAAGTTAGCTATAAAATGATCATTTAGTCCATGTTACTTTGTTAAGCAAACCAGTGGTCTTTGAAATTAAAGAATGGTAAGTTTTATCAAGGTTGATAGAAATTCAGCCTACACTAGAAGCCATGAATGTACCACATGGCATGAAATGGAAGAAAATTACACATATGTTTCAAAGTATGTCGATCCCACTAATTGTACAAAGCAAACTTATATTTAGAAACTTTCCAGAGGTAATTACATTTCCTGCTGATCTTAAGCCAGAAATATATTTAGCAATCATTCTTCAGCGGTTTTTATTTTACAACCCGCCCCATCTCACAAGCAGTTAAAAAAATACAAATTAATTACTGTATTATCAAATCTAAATGGACACACTCCTGGAATATCAGATGAAGATTTGATCAAGGCCAGTGAGACACCCTTATCACTCAAAGGTTTAAAGACAAAGAGATACATGGAGGTTACTCTAAACATTAAAGGACTGGGGAAAGTGGACTGATTGAAGACGAACAATGTAATTTATCAGAGGAATCACTTTCTACCTGCAGAGTTGATAAGAAAGCAGCTCAACAGACAGAAAGTGGATCAAATAATGTTTCCTGCAGGAGTGTGTTAAAGGGCAGCTCCCAGGACTCCTGTCTCACCGGCAGCTCCATCAGCACTCAAGGAAGCCACAAGAAAAACATCAAAACCAGAGCTGATATGGAAATACCGAAGGGCTCCCTGGTAAGTGCTTCACCATCTTGGTTATGAAGTGTTAGGTTCTGAGATGGGCGAGTTGGGTTCTGTCTACTGTTTGCTGATGAAACTATGTAGGCAAGAGATTGCAGGGGAAAGAGAAAGGTAAAGCAGAAGAGAAATCTTGATGACACTGTAGCAGAATGATGGTGGCTCGGCTGGAGCGGGCCTGGCTCCCTCAAGAAATGCTGCTTTTGTAGCTTTCTTTTCAGAAGATGATGTAATCACAGTGCAGGCAGGTGATGCTACGGGTACCATCTTCAAATTGTGCTGGGGAATTTGCTTTGATGATTATTTCTGTCATTTCCAGCAATGGAAAAAAAGAAATGAAAATAATTATAAAAAATAATTGCAAAACATTTAAGAGAATATTGGCTATTTTGATTATTTGACTTAAGCATTTTTCATTTTTTCTGAAAGTTGTATATACCAATTCATCCTACCTCAAACAGAAGATGTTAAGACTTAAGATATCCTTTTTGAAACGTGACTCCCTATCATTTAGTCTCTTAATTACGAGGTCCAGAACTCAGGGGGTAATTTCCTTTAAAAAAATGAATATAAGGCATTTTTTATATTTCCCCAGGATATGCTAGTTTCAACTAATATTTTTGTTTTAAAATTACCTGAAATTACACTTCCTTTCCTTTCATTCTCTCTGTTCTTGCATCATCAATCTGGTGATATTCATTGTTCCTTTATAAAAAATTTTAAAGCGTTCAAACAAAAAACAATCACTCTTTTCAGAAATGCTGTATCCATATATTTTTGTGCTCTAATAAAAGAGATTACAAAACTTACTGTGTGCTTCCACTTTCCTAGAAAAATCTGAAATATGAACTAATTATTCATTTTTTTCTGGAGTGGCTAAAGAGTAGAGGAAATTTTAGAAGTAATCATGATTAATATTATTAGTTATTAATTATTATTTATTTACTGATGTCTAGGGTTCCTTAGAGTTTCACTTTAATTTGAGACAAATGCACATTTAAATGTATTTTTTTTTCAAATAGCTCTTGACTCTGAAAAGCTATAAAGTCTCTTTTTAAACTCTCTGAAATCATATGCGGACTGCATTCTTTGCAAAATTTTTTTTTTCCATTTCCTCCATTCTTGCTCTTGGCTTCCATGATATCATCCTTTCTTGAAAACATAGATGTCCCTTGCCTTATAAAATCACAAATTAGAAGCATATCTAAGGCTGCCCTTGTAGTGTCACTGAAAGGAAAGAGAGAGAATAAACGTGTGGAAATGTGCAATATGCTGGAAATTCAATCCAGCTGATCTCAAACTCTGATAGCTTGGCGGAGCTCCTTATCAGAGACACTCAATTTAACTCTGCCCCATTTAATGTGGTTCTGACAGCTTGGGGTATATCTTCACTGTACATAAGTACCAAAAAAAAAATCCCTCTGTTTAGCTTTTACAATTTCATTTTTACTTTTTTATTACTTCCTAATGCTAAAATAATTTGCTATGCTTTTCCTTTCTCATTTGCAGTCTTTTATAGTGTAGTGATAAGTGTCCTTTGGTCCTTCCAGAATATCTGCAAGAAACATTCTTATTGTTTTCTGTGAAGTACAAAGATTCCCTAACCACCCCAAATACACATAATCAATAGGGATATGCTAATTTTTCTAGTTAGCCGCGAGAGGAAATTAGTCATGCTGGGAAGCTTTTGCATATAGAGGAATATTATTAACCTAGATAGTTGACCAGCTAGTCATTTTTTCAAATGTAAAATGCAATGTTTTATTTTTTTTCATCTCTATAATCATTGGTGTGGATTAGACTAAAATTACTCATTTCAGAAAGGACATTGCCATAGTCCCCTTTGGGGCTAGTAAAAGAATGGCAGTAAAACCTATTTATTATATGTTATCAGCCTCTATAGGAAGGAAATCAGATGCAAAATAACACACGTTCTAATACCATAGCATGTTGATATGAACACCCAGGAACCTTTTAAAATTAAGAGTTTAAGGGAATTTCCCCCACTAGGGTTCAAGGTAAATTTTCTGTCTGCTGTTTTTAAATGGTGTGGCTAAGAATTCTCATAGTAGTTATTTTGTATGAAAACGAGCTGCGGATAATGCTTGACATACCACACTTTCTTCTGAATAAAATCACTGTTCAAAATCTTACAATGTTCCACCATCCTTTGCCCTTTACAAATGGACTAAAAGCACTTACGAGGGTCATAAGACATTTAAATCCTTTTAATCTATGGTGATGATCGTAGAAAGATTATTTCTATACATGCAGGTCCATCCATGTAGCACACCTCCACTTGGTTCACCAGTAACTGCGTATCCATTTTCAAGACTGTTAGAGCCATTCTAAAATATGTGCAAAAGTACCATTAAGGCTTCATTGAATTAAATCTTTTTCTCTTTTCAGAGCCTTAATTAGAGGCTTATGTCCCCATTTACGCCATCATTTTCAGACCGCTTAGCTCTAATTTTTGTGTATTTTAGACAGGAGCCGTGTTACTTTGTACTTTTACTTAAATTATACAAAATCATTATAAGAGGGGAAACAAGCATCCCCAGGAAAGATTGCATCAGTATTAGGTAAATAAGTCAGAAAGAAATGCTCTCTACGCACTACATGTTGGAAGTCTGTCCTTCCTGTGGGTTTAGATAGTTTTCTGAAATGAGAAGTCTCAAAGGAAGACAGCTCCAGGCTCCTACGTAACTGTCACCAGACAAAATAAAAATTATTAACAGAATTAACGAGACCATATACCTTCACCAGGCACTGGAAAGAGGTGACCATTTTAATATGGATATTTTCATTTAAATTAGGAGCATTCTCTTTACCCAGTGTCACATAGTCTGAAGAAAGCACTTATGCTAATAAAAAAGTATCAAATACAATCCCATTAAAATTGTGCTTTGGTGATAAAGTAGCATAAAATAGGACAATAATTACAGAAATTGTTATCATCTTATTAAGTTCTGTAAAAATTTGTAATTTTAACATCTTTAATTGAATGATCCTGTTCTAAATGCTATTCGGATGCTAATAGGAAGCATGCAGCTTTTGCTCTCCTCCAGCAAAGTTTTCTAAATGACTGCATTTTCTAAAGGTAATGCCTTCCAGGAGGATTCCCTCCAAAGATTACCTCTCCTCTCACAGAGATTCATTATGTTCTTTTCCTTTTCAATGAGCTTTAACGTCAAACTGTTTTCTTGGGAAGAAATTCATGTTAGGATGATCCACGGAAGAAATCTATGCAGAATTCCAAATGAAGGTGTCCCCAAATTCTGGATTTCGTTCTGCAATTATGTATATGTATTTGTCAGCAGCCAATTATTGTCTCCCTTTCTTCCTCTTGTGTCCTTTGTAAGCTCTCAGCCTTTTCTAATGGCAGAGGTCACTAGAATATAATGGGTACAATGACATTTAATGATTACCTGTTAGAGAGTGGTATTTTGTACAGTTCTTGACTACAACTGCAGAGCTCAAAAGATGGACGAGAGTTGCAGAGAGGTGCACCATTAGAAGATGGCCAAAGTACTGACAGCAAACTGAAGCCAAACATAGCCCAGAGTTATTGCCTACGAGTCACCTCCTACTTCTTAACAAATGGGACATCAACTGACATTAATTTGTATCTGTTCCTGGTAGAGCAGTGGCTGGAAAAATTCTCAATCTCTAACCACCATTGTTTGCTGAGCCAAACTTCTTGGCTTTGTGACCATTCCGGTCTGTGCATTCACATCTTTGCCACCGGAAGGTGGTCCCACCTGTGCCTGTCTTCGGCAGATTCTTAATCTTGAGCTGGCGGCCACTTGCCCCCAGGAAGGTTCCACAACCTTTCACCAACATCCAGCCACTGTACAATCAAGAGTGAAAATTAATTTTAATTTCAGCCTGTGAAAAATATAATTAACAAGGGGAATCAGCTGCCAAAATAAATTATGCCCCTCATTTCCATAGGCAAATGGATTTTTTTTAATTACTCACCATTTTGCATTGAAATCTATTTGTATGGATAATTAGAGCTGACAAGTGTGCTATTCTAAGACACTCCCCCATTTTCCATTCCTTTGTGGATTCTTCATCTGTCCCCTTCGAATTCAAAATTTCTTCTCATGGGTCATCTGCTCCTTGTAAGTCATTAGCCCAGGAGAGCATAAGGAACTGGGGGCCTTGTCTAAACCCAGTTCCTCTGATAAACCCCTAAGAGGCCACATTTAACATTTTCTGTTAAGCCCCTGAAGTTCTAGTAAAGTTCTAACAAGGAGCTGACAGGTAGGACCTCAAGATGGTTTTTATTTTCTTTCTTAAATGTGATGCTTGGAGAAAGGTGCTGGTTAAGTGCCAGAGAAGGCTTAGGGAACAAGTAGGGGAGAGAAACAGGGCACTTACACGTTTGTACACACACACACACACAGAGCTATTTTTTGCTACTCTTAAATAAAAATATAGTTTATGTATATTTGGAAGACTGCCTACCTATCTAATTACCAGACACTAAAAGATACAGTAGTTCTTAGTAAGGTCTAGAAAGGATGATGATTACAATATGGCACACTCTGAAATATTAAGTGACAGCAATGAAAAGGGGTCAGGAGTGCCCACCTACTCTAAAACTGAAATCCTTTTGTAACCTTGAACAGATCACTAACCCTCTCTGAGCTTCTTTTCCTTTATCTCCAAGATGACAGCCTTGTTCTAATTATTGGATTCCTTAGTTCAGAATTTCATAGGCTGGTGGAGATGATGATTCACCCACATTCCAGCAGGTTAACATGGCACCCTTTCAAGTATAAAATCGGTTGATTTAGAAACACCCAAAGGAAATACTATTTTACATAACAGGTGTGGAGAAGTATGGAACATATTGTCATAAGTGTTGGAATGGGCCGAGAATATAAATAGATTTGCTTGATGTTTCTATAAATGAGGATAGAAAGTTCCTGTTGGATTCCTAAAGGAAATTAAGGTGTTTGGAGTATCCTTCCTTTTAGGTCTTTTGGTAGCCTTGTCACACAGAGGTCTCAGAGCTAAGTCAACTTTGGAAGGCAAGTAAGTAACGCGTTAGCCTTGCTGATACTTGTAGAGCTTTTCCGTCTGCCAACCATAAATGTGCACCACCAGATATAGAACTGGTTGATGTAGCTCTTCCTCCTCCATCCTCTAACTTCCTTCCCTCAGGAAGTTCTAACAAACAAGGCAGTGCCCACAGAATAGACAGCTGATGGGGAAAGAAAGCAACAAAGCATGACCTCTGTATAGTCAACCCTTAATACTGTCCTTGTGAGGATTCAGTCTCCATCTATGTACTCCCTTGAGTTTGCCATCTTCCGGCTGTCAGTATGTCTGAATTAAGCATCAGTTATATTCTGATATTGGGCTCATAGCCATGGAATGTAAATAGTTGGTCTTATTTCATAATATATGAAAATTAGGAGGTAGAAAGTGAAATCTAGCTCAAAGTCAGTAAGCAAGCATATGACTTTCTAAATTGCAAGTATAAAACAATAGTTGCTTAGCATTCAACTCAAGCCCCCGAGCAGATCCACTGACAAATTCTAGTGTACCCCTACTGCATTCATTGCACAGTTCACATGATTATCTTTGGCTGCATAGGTAACTGGCTGGGATGTATTTTAAAAGAGCTGGTTAGGGTCATTCTGCCAAGGACCTCGAGCTCTCTTGACCTTGCAGCCAAGTCTATACTGGCATAGTTCAATGTGTTTAAGGAAACTTGTTGGATGTCAGACTTCTCATTTGTAAAATAGTGTGATTTTATTAGATTCTTGCTAGAGTTCCATTTGGTGCTATATCATTTGGCATCTGGATATTCCAGTGGAAATGTAAAGGGAATTTTGACCTGAAAAAAATCTAGATAAATGTGTCACCTCTCTAGTTCACTGAGCACACATTGTAGTCGCCTCATATTTCATTATGGAAAGAACAACAACAAAATAACATTTTCTTAGAGAGTTATATTTTAGGAAAGGGTCAAGAGATCGGAGTATATTTCTTTATTCTTATTAAAATAACTTGTGGTGGAAGTTACTGCCTCTAGAAGAATTATATTTCCTTAGACTTTAATTTTTCTTAACAGTTTTGTGTTACTGACTTTATTAAGTATTAAAAACAAAACAACACCAAAGCTGTTATCTCAAAAGTCTTATGTAGAATCAGGTACCCTGTAAACCGTTGCTTTCAGAGCCAGAGTTATAGTCTGGAAAATATGCTCTTGTAATTAAAACCTGTAATAAAGCCAAGTGATAGAGTGAGGACAAGTGGGATGAAGAAAATATAAACTTATATGTACACATACCCCCTCCACGCACACACACCCCTACATGTTTGTTACGGAAGGTACCAATACTGAGGGTTGCAAACGATCTATTTTATATAATACATGAGAACTCACAGTATTTCCTTGTTACGGCAGATAAAAGAGGCAAGTGAACACCTGCAAGAGGATGAGGAAGATACAGCTGCAAATTCTGCATTTCAGAGCCACAGCATAGGTAAAAATGCATGTCTCCATATGTCTTTAAATGAGATGTTTTCTACATGCGACCTTATTTCAGACACAGTGTGTTTCTAAAGACCACATATTATGCCTCCCCCTACTGGGACCAGGTTTTAACTTCTCAAACATGACTACCTTTATCTTCTTAGACATTGGAAGCTATCATAAAATAAGTGGTCAAAGGAGAACCTAAGAAGAAAACATAGCTGTTTGCAGAGGAATGAAGTGCAAACTGATGAGAAGTGTGGCCTTGTCAATATAAAATGAAAATGAGACTGGGTGTAAATAATGTCTCTCTGAGGAGAAAATCAACTTTGAATTGATCCAGTTTCTATAATTGTCTCAGGAAGCACCTTGTGCAACTCCTGTTGGTTAAAACTGTGGAGTGGTGGCTTTTCTACATTGAGTCTTTTTTTAATGGAATATGTTTTACACATAGAACTGAGTAGATGAGGTATATACGGCCTGCCAAAATCTTCAGCTCATTTTCTTCATCATTTCTGTTAGAGCCCTGATTACAGATAGTCCCATCTCTGCATCCCTTTCTTGAGGCCAGTTTGGCTTGTCAGCTCCTTCCTAAAGTTTTGCCTAAGCCTACATTGAGGGAACTCAAGTTTCCGACACAAAGGGATTTTGCTGACCTGTTTTCAGAGCCAGGAGGTAACTGGTAATAGAGTAGCTGTCTGTGACCGCGATCCTTCTCAGGAGATGGAAGAGGTGATAACTTTAACAGCTCTGGGCGACCTCGGACACTTGCAAACTTAGTTGTTCTTTGGGCTCTAAAACTGGCGGCGAAGGCAAGCATGGTGAACGTTTAGTTTTACACAAATCAGCCAGGCATGAGAGAGTTGTGTGTTCAAATCACATTTCAGTGTAGTAGAGAGTACTCCAGACCAGGCTCTGGGGCACAACAGCCCCACAGCTTTCTGGTTTCTGGTAGAATCAGTGTTCACTGCTCCTGCCCTTTCAGCTCTCAGCATCCGCCACTCCCGGCACCATCTTGGGACATTTTGTGGCTGATTTTCTAGCACACTCAGCAGTCTTCTGCCAACGATAATTTACAGTTTAGCTCAGAGAGTTATTGTACCCCCGCAGCTTAATGAGACTGGCACATCATTATTATCCTTTTCATTTGTAATTGAAAATACGAAAGTCTTAACAAACAGCTAAAAGAGTGGAGCCTGTATAAGATTATTATTTCAGAAAGACATCCTTCAATACAGCTGTCAATGTAAAAAGCTTAAATTGGTATCAGTTCAGCGTAGTTAGCCAATATGCAAGTTAAATGTTCAGCAGCCTTCAAACATGGCACTATGTAAAGCCCCACTGAGCCATCCATTTTCCATAATGAGCTGTTCTTTAGCTTCTACAGTAACATACGTAAAGGTAGAGGCTGAGTTTTCTTCAAGAGAGCTACAGTAATCTAAGCATTTTTTACAGACTAGCAATTCTTTAGATCTGTGCTGTTTGACATGGTAGGCAGTAGTCCCATGTACTTATTTCAGGTTCCATTTAAATTAATTAAAACCACATAAAATTAAAGATTCAGTTCTTCGGTTGCACTAGCCACATGTCTACATATTCTGTATGGTCTGTCTGAACATTTCCATCATCACACAGACTTCTGCTGGAAAGGGCTGATTTAAATGACTCTCAGGGAAGTAAATCTGGACTCTGTTTCTGACAGAGGACTGACTTGATCTTCACATGATTGTAGACCCATCTCCTCACACTGGGGGAGATCTCTCTGAATAAGCTGCTATTGGCAGCAAGTAACAATGAAACTGACTTGCCATTACTTAAGTGATAAAGTCATTTAATCATCATTTATAATTGAAAGTGTGGAGGAAGGCAAACATGAAAGAGGAGAAGCAGCTGAACTATGTTATCCAAAGCCCTGGTTTTTATCCCTTTGCTTGTCCCTTCTGGTTGCAAAGTGATTTCTGCCGCTCTAGGCATCCCAGCTACATTCAGGACACGAAGGATAAGGAAAAGTTCCTTCAGGATCCCCCCCATAAGTTCACTTAACATATCATCAATGCAAACCAGGTCATAAAGCCAATCTTAGCTTCAAAGGGTGCTGGGAAAGTCAGTATGTTGCTTTTCCCTTGCTGCATGAAGTAGCAAGGAGAACAGGGTTGAAAATATTCCATGAGTTAGCCAACCAATAATATTACCACAGGCCTTTTACAAAGTTCACCCATTTCAAGACTAAGTGAGACTCAACAGATCAAATGGTTATTTATCTTTATTGCACAAAAATAACTGAAAATATTTATTTTAGCACCCTGAGAATCCCAGTGTTCTTTGTTTCGTCTTCTCTAAGTGTTGCCACATGTCCCCACAATGTTTAAACCATAGAATATTTTCAATCACAGCAGTTGAGCAAATCTAAATATGTTCTCCTTCCAACCAAACATCAAATAATGTCTTTGACAAAGAGCAACAATCAAAAAAACTGTGAATCTGAATGTTTACATTTCTGCAGTTAAGGATAATCATGTTGGTTTAATCAAAATGTTATGAGTTGATCACAAGACAAGATATTGTTGTTAATTAAACCTACTCCATATTGAAATTCAAGATTTATGTATTACGTTAAGTAATACAACTGGGTTTTTTCTTTAAAATTGCCCAAATAAATGTCAGACTTTAATGTTAATAAGCAAAAAGCAAATGAATAGACTAGCTTAATAGAAGTATTAACATAAATGATGACAAACGCTATATTTCTAATTGTTCTTTCTTGCTATTTAACTGTAATAGATTCACCCAACATATTACACCAATTATGTAATAGGATTAAGTGATCAGTAGGAATTCAAATAACATTGTCTCATATTAAAAACATCAGCCAATGATAGCATCAAAAATAATCTCCTAAGAGGAGGCAAAGGATTTGGAAATTCCTTTAAAAAGGAAAAAAAAGTCTTCAGAGGAGTTTCAGGAAGAAGCCAAGCAGAATTAAATGATAACTAACCCAAGAAAACAAGGCTGCCTGGTAGACTCTGGTGAAGTGAAGGATACATGGTATATTCCCCAAATCTAAAAGAGTTACAAAGAACAATCTGTCCAGTTGCCCAGTGGACAAATGTTCCAGTGCCCCATGGCTGAATGAAGTTAGTTTCCTCTCCCCCTATTGGCTGGGTGTACTCCTTGTCTCTTCTAAAGAAGCCCTTCTGGCTCCCACCACCGGAGGTTGTGACAAGGGACATGATCTAGTCCTGAGGATCGAGCTTTCTTTGGTTAGCTCTGTGAAGTGGCCTTGGTGTTCTGCCACCTGCAGAACTGTCTCCAAGGGCTCTTTCTATCCTTCTTCCATCCCTCCCCAGACTAGTCTTAGCCAGCAGCTAATACATACAGGAGGGTAATGGATACTCAATAAGTACCCCCTCTGACTTACTTAACAGACCATAAACCACCTTATTTCTGTTTTCCCAAGGCATTTCACTTTCTTACTCCTTTTCCCTCCTAGGCTTTAGCTAGCTAAGCTAGGGAACTAACTCATGTCAGTGGAGCCATGGATTAAACAGGTATTTTTTTCAGGTCATGTGTTTGCATTTTAACAAAGATTCAAGAAAAGTTTTACCTCTAGTTAAGAGCTACTCTTGGGAGCTTAAGTTTCAGGCACTCACATCAGTGGTTTGAGCAAATTATAGGGTGAAGGATAAAGGACAGGAATTAACCTGACTTCAGACAATGTATAAGAAGTCATGCTGGGGGACATTGAGTTACCTTGTCCTATAAGCCTACTTTTGAGAGATGGCCTGCCTGAAGGGGAAGAAATGAGACAAGATTATGCTGGGTCAAATAGAGAATATTTGGATCAGCTGGTACCATGACCATTTTTACCTCTGTAAGACATAGACCTGGTTCTTATAACCTTATACCATCTACCCATAAAGCACCTAATCCATGGTAATAATGGTCCAGTGTGGAGTTTGGTAGAGGTAGAAGGGATAAAGGAGTCAAATGATACATGGTTATCACTGTCAAGGAATCTATACACCAGGTGCAGTGAGGGTCAGCAAATGTGGCAGCTTCTTCACCCAGCAGAGGAGAGAAGGCCTGTCCTGATGCCACAGTGTCTGTAGCTGTGGTTTCTCAAAATAGAAAGATTCTCGAATCAAGTACCTGAGTTTCCTGGAGAATAAGAGCCAGGACCTAGGTATTTATTGCATTTGAATGAAAGGAACTCTAGAACCTACTTTATTGTATTAAAATCCCAATACAGTATGGTCAACAGTTGTCCATACGTGGATTATATACTTTGAATTATCCAGCCCATGATTATTTTTAAATATAAGACTGGATTTCTCTAAGTATTAGTACCAATAGAGTTAGGTTTAGACGAGGGTGAAGAAAACCCAAAAGTACAGTGGTTTAAATAAGAATAGAAATTTCTCGCCATCACACATGACAGTCCAGAGGGAGGTCCAAGCTGATAGGACAGTGCCAGGCTCCTATCTTGTCTCTCTGCTTCACATGATTTCCATTCCCAAGGTCACTTCTTGGTTCAAGATGGCTGTTGAAAACCATCCTTTATGTCCATTTTCCAACCAGCAGGAATGACGAAGGAATGAGGAAGGCTGTGGCTCATCTCCTTAAGAACGCTTCCCAACAGTTGACCCATCCTTCTGCTGTCAGCCCAGGGGCTGGTGCTGAGTCACATAGCATGGAAAACATTATTCCAGGCAGAAGGCCATGTGTCCAGAAAGGAAAAAAAAAAGAAAAAGAAAAAACAGAGGTTCTTTTAACTCAGGAAGAAAGAGAGAATGAATATGAGGGAACATGTAGCCATCTCAGCCTGCTGCTTACCCCTACCAAGGTTATCTCCTTGATAGGAACACAAACAAATTTTCACTGTCATTTAAGAAAGCCAAAGGAAGATAAATTTGGAGAGTTGTTGGGAAAGATATAATTAATTTCAATGATTTATGCCTACTTTCTGTTTTGCATGACCTGAACTACCACTGTTCTCTATTTGTGCAGTTA